ATATATATATATATATATATATATATATATATATGTCTCTGTCTCTTCTTAATATCTCTATCTCAATCCCTTTTATAAATACATATCTCTATCTCTTGTCTATATATCTATATCTGTCTCTGTCTCCAGTTTGCCTGTCTCTTCTTTTTTTTTTTTTTCTATCAGCTGATGAAGCGTCTCCGCCACCCGTACGTGGTTCGTTGCGTTGAGTCTTTTGTTATATTAAATACTTTTCTAGTTATTGTGATGGAGTACTGCGCTGGTGGGGACCTGACATCTTTCTTAGATAAGAGACGGGGGCCCCCCAAGCAGCTGGGGGGCCCCTCAGGGGGCCCCCCATGTGGGGGCCCCTCCGGTGCTGCCCCTAGCAGCGCCGCGGGGAGAGAAGAGACAGCTGCTGCTGCTGGTGCAACAGCAGTAGCAGCTGCACCAGCAGGAAGAGGAGAAGCAGCATCATCATCACCAGCAGCAGCAGCAGCAGCAGCAGCAGCAGAATGTGGAGAGTTGCTAGAAGAGCAGCAAATACTGGAATGGCTGCTGCAGCTGCTGTGGGGCCTTGAGTACGTGCACTCGCAGCGTGTGTTGCACCGCGACCTGAAGCCGAGCAACATCCTTCTATCTCCAGTCTTACCCAGCAGCACCATCAGCAGCACCATCAGCAGCAGCAGCAGCAGCAGGAGCAGCAGCAGCAGCAGCAGGAGTGTGAGTCTAAAGATAGGGGATTTCGGTATAAGTAAGGTGATGACAGCAACACTGGGTGTGGCTACAACAGCTGTCGGTACACCCCAATATATGTCTCCAGAGATGTTAGAGTCTCAGCCGTATACAGTGAAGAGCGATGTATGGGCATTGGGGTGTATACTGTATGAGTTATGTACTTTTCGTAGTGCTTTTGCTGCTGACTCTTTTATTTCTCTTGTATGGACCATTGCCTTTGCCCCCATAGAGCCCATCAGCACTGTATATACACCCCATCTACACCGTCTCCTCGCAGCCATGCTACAGAAAGACCCCACACGCAGACCCACACCAACACACCTACTCAGGGATCCCTTTCTACAAGCATTCGTACACAGACACACACAACCACCACCACTGCCCATCATACACCAACAACAACATATGCATGTGCTGCAGCAGCAGCAACTGCAGCAGCAACAGCAGCAGCAGCAGCAGATAAGGTCACCTCAACAGAACATGCAGCAAATACACCACAGACAGCAGCAAGGAGACAGTCCGTATGAACAGCAGCCTGAAGACTTCTTCGCTGCAG